TTTCGGAAGTTGTTCAAACAGTTCCACCACGGCTGCGTCAATGCATCCCAAAATCTTCGGAAAGATGATCAAGCCATACAGACCTAGTGCAAAAAAGGTCTATAGTCTTCCATTCATCAGGGTGGTCATTCATTAGTTTCCTTATGTGGATCCACTGAATTCTTTGCCCGTTACCTTTGTTTCGAAGTCGGTCAGTCACTCACTTTTCATCAACTCCTGCAAACTTAGCCAGTCTGTTCTTGAAAAGCTGACTCTTGATGTGTTTGATGTAGGCTCGCTCCAATTTAATGCTTTCACAGTGCAATAGTATAGTATACTCCTCGATGGTAGATACCGTGTCCTCTTGGTTAAAAATGAAGCAATTGTATCCCGGGTTCCAGAATTGAACCAAGGCTCTGATTAAGGGCTCACCGGTCTTAACATGAAGCAAAAGTGCAATGTCACCATACCGCTGACTGAACTTCTATTTTTGATCATTCTTCCAACTGTCCCAGATGTCTCGAAGTTCTTGCACATTGTTCTGTTTTAGGCTGATAGAGGCATAGCTAACAAGCTCTGACACATAACTTCCTTGAAGACTATCTCCTTTTTCTTTCTGAGTTTTCTCGGACCATAGTCGTACCTCGGGGTTTTTAATCTCCTGTATTACAACACCTTTGTCCATTAATTTAGATTATTTATGGTTAACGAACACATTTTTTTGGTGGATCAACACATCTTTTGAATGATGCAGATGATGGAAATAAAATAAAAGAGAAGAAAAAAATGAAAAGAGTTAGTAAGGTAAAGATAATAATCAAAGCAATCATGAAAATAAAAGTCCTACCCCATATGATATCTACCCCACATGCTTATTATTCCTACCCGGACATGATCTCTATCCCGCAAGTTGATTTTGAACAAGTCATAACCGCATAAATTTCTAGTTCACATATATTTTGAACAGAAAGTAAAGCAGAAAATAATTTTGGTATCCTAGGGTTTAAAACGAGGTTTTGGGGTGGGCCCTAACTCCTTGTAGTCTCCGGGTTTAGGTTCTAAAAAAAGGTACTCGAGTTCTCCTTGCCGGTGCCCCCTTGGGCTTACCAGACCCTTAGTCCTAAACCCATCACAGGCTTCTGTGGACTAAGTTAAACTCGAGAGGAAACATTCCCTTAAGCCCATACGGAGAATAAATTCACACGAAGGCATAAGGTATATGAATCCCGAAGGTTACTTGCTAGGCCCATACGATGAATAAATTCACACGAAGGTGTCGCTTTCACCCCCACTTAAAACGGGTTCGGAGCTCAGGTAGCCTTTGGATGAAAAATCTTTAAGGGCTGAAATCATTAAAAAAACGGCCAATACAACTATTTACTCGAAAGTATAATCAAAAGTAAGTAATAAGGATCGAAATATTACCTTAAAATTTAAACTTATCATTTTCATTAAAAAGATAACTGGAAATTACCTTAGCCTAACTCACTTACCTGTGTCCCCAGCAGAGCCGCCAAGCTGTCGTAACCGTCTTTCGGTTAGGCCCCGGAATTGGGTTTCGACTTGAAAAATGTGGATTTGAGAGTCACCACCGATCATTTATTTAAAATAAATGGGTTGATCGGATACCCTATTTCTTACCTGATCTGCGTCTTTCTAAAGATGTGTCGGGTTCGGGAGTCGGTTACGGTCAAGGAAGGATTAGCACCCTTGAACCGCCCTTTCGGTACTACGTAATTTCCAGTTGTCTTTGATTAAGAAAATTGCAAGTTAAATTAAAAGGTAAAATTTGATCCGAATTACTTACCCTTAATGAGTTTACGGAAATACTCTTAAAAATTAAAATAAGATGTTAAAAGAAAATAATAATAATAAAAGAAAATAACAAAACTAAAGAGTAAACCAAGGAAATAAATGAAACCAATAATAATAAACATAAAATAATTGGATGAAATAAATATAAAAAAATGAAATTGAATAAAATAAAATAAATGAAGAAAAATATATACAAAAAGAATAAAAAGGTAAAGTGTTTTTAAAAAAAGAAAATAATAATAGAAATATAAATAAAATAAAAATATATATATAAAAATATAAAAAAGTATGTAATATAATAAAATATTAAATAGTAACAATAATAATAAATAAATAAAAATATACATATAATATTAACTAAAAAATATAATCATAGAAATATAAAATAAAATGAAGTAAGAATATATATATATAACGTTAGGAAAATATAGTAAAAAAATATAGTAAATAAGTAAACATAGATAAAAAATAATAATAATATATATATATATATTATAATAAGAAAATAATATAATATAACGTAAAGAAAAATAAAAAAATTTATAATAAATAAATAAATAAAATATAATAAAAATATATATATATATACATATAAATAATAAGGGTTAAATTAAAATAAAAAATGAGTTAGGGGTCAAAATTTAAAGTCAATCGAAGAAAAAAATAACAAAACACGTGGATCCACGCGACACGTTTATAAAAATTCGAATATTTTTCTAAAACACAAGCCTCGGCGACTAGATCTACAAAAATAGATCTCGAAAACGCCTCCGTTCATCGGCCAAAAACACTTCTCTCATTTTTCTTTCGAATCAAAACACAGCAAGGGTAAAGAAAAATAACATGCGAATGTATGAACTTTACCTTTCAAAATATAAATGCTTCGAAAAATGGTTACGAGTTGCTTGTAATTTTTTGTTTGGTATTTCGTATATCCTCTTCCGAATGTATTACAATAGTGAGTTACAATGACTATTTATAATGCTTGTGGATCTTATCTTTAGGAGTTTAAATAATAGTAAAACTTTATCCTATTTTTAGGAGTTTGAATCCTAGTAAAATTCTATCATATTTTTAGGAATTTGAATCTTAATAGGACGAAAAGGTGTGTTGACACAATACAAGAAAGCATAAACTGCAGTGGAAATGTAAACCAAGAGAGCATAAGAAACCAGGATGACCACACCCGCCACCGCTTGAATAGCGGACTTACTGCCGCAGGACAACATCCCCAGCCGTATCTCGATCACGTTCACCATCGAGAGCATCAAAAACAATCACCCCATGACGGATCCCACGGCGGAGCCCATGAAGAGAAAAACAAATGGAACTTTTCAACGTGGGAGACGTTGAAAGAATCAACCAAAGCTTTTAATTAAGGGGAAAAAAACTTTACTCTTCCATTATTGAAATCCTGCAACCTTCGATCGTGTGTCTTCAAGGACTCTGCTTCATGGAACAGAAGAGGAAAGTTAAGAGCAGCTTATTCAATTGTCGGGTTTATGTTCAGATTTTATATAGAAAATGTTTGGCCCTTCTGTTTTCGGATTGGTTTAGGGAAAATTATTTGTTCCAAATAAAGTTTGAAACTTTGAAGCTTGTGAGTTTGTTTCAACTTTTTTATTAAAATAAAAAGGTTCGAATCATTGTCTCGGAGGATGAAGTGGAATGACAATAAGGCCTCTACTGTTAATTGATTTTTGTAAGGAAAGACAGGCCACTTTCATGTTTGTTAAGACCTGCTTTTGGGTACCCAAAAGTGTTGTCCTAAAGCAAATTACTTCAATTTCCTGGCCAATATATATGCAGCCATGCGTGAATCAGGAAGATTTCTAATATATCATTTCTTTTTATTGAAATTATGTTGCATACTATTTTTAAAAACAATACTTTTTAATTCATAAATTATTATTTTTATAATTTAATTAATTATAGTACTAATTAAACGATCTTAAAAGTATGATCACTATTTGTAAAAGTTTCAGGTTCGAACATGATATCTGTAAGGGTATTTAGATATCTAATATAAAATAATTAAAAATATTTTAAATAAATATTATCTTATAATCATATCATCGTAACAAAAAGAATTAAGTATATAATGTAAAGGGAATATATATGCTTCATATGATTTTTTCTCTGCGTGAAGTTGGGTTCGACTGGAAAGTGGAAACCAAAGAGTTGGTCATAATTGTTGTTGAGTCATGCAGATAACAACATGTATCAGAATAGATATTAATTGAGATAATCAATTTTCAACTGATAATTAAATTAATTTTTTTATAAAATTAATTAATATAACCAAATTAAATTTAATTAATTAAATCAACCTTTCATTTCTGAAAATTTTAAAATCTTTTGACTCAAATAGCAATAATTAAACAAAACATTGCAATGGTTGAATCTAAACAAAAAATATGATAAAATAATGAGATATTAAACTGATGATACACATTTAAGAAATAAATGGATCAACACGAATCAAGTGTTCTTAGTGGTTAAAAGATTATTATTATCTATTGAGGTATTGAGTTTGAGCATCAAATATGTTGGAATATTAATTTTTTGTCAAATAAAAAATAAAATCTTTAAAAGAATAATATCTTATATTTATTCCAAAGGGTCATGTGCATGTTTGTTAAATGCTTTAAACTTTTGGGTAAATTACATTCCAGATCACTCAATTATTAGTCAAATTATAAATGAATCATGTTTGTTTTAAAAAGTATAATTTAGTCAATCAATTAAATGTTATTACAAATATATCATTGGACCATTAAATATTAGACATAATAGTTAAATGACCTTATATGAGTTTAGTCCTTACAAATAAAATAATCTATGTCATCATAGAGTGGCAAAAAAATTAATATATAAAGTTCAGATATTTTTTTGAAGTTCGGTGAGTAAAATAGGAGCGAGAGTAAAGTTCAGTTAATGTAAATTACCCATTTTAATAATGTCTTGAATTATTGTTAATTATTATGTGCTAAACTTTGTAGTATTATTAATGATGGTGTAGTTTATAGTATGAAACTTTAAAACTTCTATGCTGTGTTTGTCAAATTAAAATTTAGAAGGTAGAACATGACTACGCAAAATTAGCAATAAGACTAGTGCACAAATATTTCACTGCTTAGTCATATACACACGAAAGAACTTTGTTTGATATTTTCTAGTAGGAAACAAAGGGTTTAATCATTGCATCTCTTCCAAAGCCAATGCAAACTAACAATGAGATGAAACTAGAAGGCAATTGTCGGCTTCACATGCTTTTATCACTAACCTATTTATGGGACGGAGAGAGTATTCTTCCTAAAGATAGATTGTTTCGCTTCAAGTTCTGTAACAATCCATTTCCCTGATTTATACTTCCTCACCGTAATAATGGGCCAACAACCCTCCCTTGGCTTCCTCCTTCAAGCGTTTTATCTGTTGAAAGTCCAAGATGACAGCATAGATTGATGAAAACTTTCGATGCCTAACTTAGCCAAAATTTCAACAATAAGTTGACAGCATGAAAATGTTGATTTTTTTGGAAATGGTACAATCTCACATTTAGTCATTATACTCTAGGGTATTTTTAAGATTAGTCCTTTAGCTTCAACTATAAATACCCTATCTCATTTAGCTTCAAAACCATCCTAAAGCATTCTAGCTTTCTTCCAATACTAGAGAATTTAGAGAGTTTCTTGAGAGTTGTTTTCTTCTTTTTATCTAGAGATAATTATCATTGTTTTCTCCTTGGTAGATCGAGAGAAGTTGTAATTCCTATTTTCTCATAGTAAAATTCTTCTACCGTTGTCCGTGGTTTTTACCCTATATTATTTAGGGGTTTTCCACGTAAATTTTGTGTCTCTTTTATCTTCATTTTTATTTTCTCAAATTATCAGTTACGATTTTGCTCTATTCGATAGTCGTCTTCCGCAACAATTGGTATCAGAGCCAGATTTGAGTGTGTAATATCTGATTATTGTCTTTGTGGTTGCCACCAAAAGATGGATTCTCCAACATAAGAAAGTAAGAAGGTATTACCCATTCTTTGAAGGTTCCAGAGAACTATTCACGATAGTGAAATAGTGGGAGTTATCCGTAAAAGAAGTTATGGCAACGAAATTTGATATTGAAAAATTCAATGAGAGAAATTTCTCATTGTGGAAATTGAAGATGAAGGCCATCCTGAGGAAAGACGGTTGTCTAGCAGCTATCAGTGAAAGGCCGATAGATTTCACAGATGACAACAAATGGATCAAAATGGACGGGAATGCTATGACAAACTTTCATCTAGCATTAGCAGATGAAGTATTGTCAAGCATCAAGGAGAAGAAGACAACTACGAAGATATGTGATCATCTCACCAAACTGTACGAGGCCACATCGTTGCACAATAAAATTTTCCTTAAGAGAAATTGTACACTCTCCGTATGTCAGAATCTACTTCAGTGACGGAACACTTAAATACACTGAACACTTTATTTTCTCAGCTTACATCCTTAAGCTGTAAAATAGGAGAACAAGAACGTGCTGAACTTCTACTTCAAAGTCTACCGGATTCATATGATCAACTCATCATCAACTTGACAAACAGTCATGTCACCAGTTTAGTCTTCGATGATGTTGCATCTGATGTTTTACAAGAAGAAAATCAGCGCAAGAACAAGGAAGACAGACAAGTAAATCTGCAACAAGCAGAAGCGTTGACAACAATGAGAGGGAGATCAACAGAACGTGGCCAAAGTAGCAGTCACAAACATGGTAGATCAAAGTCGAAAAACAAGAAGAATTTAAAATGCTACGACTGTGGAAAGAAGGGTCACTTGAAGAAGGATTGTTGGAGTTTAAATAAAAACTCAAATCCACAAGGCAATACCACAAACACTTTAGATGATGGAGATGCTCTATGCTGTGAAGCGTCAACTACCGTGAAAGGCAGAAAGAGATATGCATATATATGACTCATTGATTCAAGAGCAACATATCACATGACCTCAAGAAGAGAATGGTTCCATCATTATGAACATGTCTTAGGAGGATCTGTGTATAGTTGCAATGATCATGCCTTATAGATCGTTGGCGTGAGAACCATCAAATTGAAGATGTATGATGAAACGATTAAAGTTGTTCAAGATGTGCGGCACGTGAAAGGTCTGAAGAAAAATTTATTATCCTACGGATTGTTGAATAATAATGCAAGCAAGATTGAAACACAGAAAGAAATCATGAAGGTGTTCCGTGGAGCGCTTGTGGTGTTGAAAGGCGAAAAGATACCAGCAAACTTGTACATGCTGAAGGGAGAAACTTTGCTAGAAGCAGAAGCCTCTGTTGCCTCATGTAGTTCAGATTCTGCAATGTTATGGCATCAGAAACTTAGACACATGTCAGAACAAGGAATGAAAGTCCTTGTGGAGCAAAAGCTACTTCCAGGCTTAACAAAGGTATCACTTACTTTGTGTGAGCATTGCATAACAAGTAAGCAGCACCGGTTGAAATTCAACACATCAAATTCTAGAGGCAAAAGTGTTCTAGAATTGGTTCACTCTGACGTATGGTAAGTACCAGTTACATCCCTAGGTGGAGCAAAATACTTTGTCTCATTTATTGATGACTACTCCAGGAGATATTGGGTGTATCCTATTAAGAAGAAGTCAGACGTGTTTTCAACTTTCAAAAACTTCAAGGCGCGGGTGGAACTTGATTCTGGAAATAAAATCAAGTGTTTCAGAACAGATAATGGAGGAGAATACACAAGCGAAGAATTTGATGACTTTTGTAGGAAAGAAGGCATCAAAAGACAGTTCACAGTGACGAACACTCCTCAACAAAATGGAGTGACAGAGCGGATGAACAGAACCTTGTTAGAAAGAACAAGAGCAATGTTGAGGGATGCAGGCCTAGAAAAATCATTCTGGGCAGAAGCAGTCAATACCGCCTGTTATATGGTGAATCGAGCTCCATCAACTGCAACAGAGCTGAAGACACCAATGGAGATGTGGACTGGTAAACCAGCTGATTATTCAAACCTTCATATATTTGGAAGTATTGTGTACGTGATGTACAACTCCCAAGAAATCTCAAAGCTGGATCCAAAATCCAGGAAATACAAATTCTTGGGGTATGCTGATAGAGTCAAAGGGTATCGCTTGTGGGATCCCATTGCCCATAAAGTAGTCATCAGCAGGGATGTTATCTTTGTAGAAGATAAGCTAAAAAGAAAAGAAGATGATGATAGCGCTGAAAAGTCAGAGACTACACAGATACATGTGGAAAAGGATTTTGAGCAAGGAGATTCTTCTGAAGTAGAACCAGCATATGATGAACAAGAACCAGAGAGTTCTAAAGCTCCAACAACTCGTCAATCAGATCGTGTGAGAAGACGTCCCAATTGGCACTCAGAGTAAGCAATATGAAGGTACAAGGTAGAAAGAATGGTGTGAAGATATGATTATTCTAATCAAATCTTCAAGTGGGAGATTGTTGAAAGTCCAAGATGACAACATTGAAAGTCCAAGATGGCAGCATAGATTGATGAAAACTTTCAGTGCCTAACTTAGCCAAAATTTCTACAATAAGTTGGCAGCATGAAAATGTTGATTTTTTGGAAATGGTACAATCTCACATTTAGTCATTATACTTTAGGGTATTTTTAAGATTAGTCATTTAGATTCAACTATAAATACCATAGCTCATTTAGCTTCAAAATCATCCCAAAACATTCTAGATTTCTTCCAATATTAGAGAGAATTTAGAGAGTTTCTTGAGAGTTGTTTTATCCTTTTTATCTAGAGAGAATTATCGTTGTTTTCTCCTTGATAGATCGAGAGAAGTTGTAATTCCTATTTTCTTATAGTGAAATTCTTCTACCGTTGTCTGTGGTTTTTACCCTATATTATTTAGGGGTTTTTCACGTAAATTTTGTATCTCTTTTATCTTCATTTTTATTTTCTCAAATTATCAGTAGCGATTTTACTCTATCCGATAGCCGTCTTCCGTAACATTATCTTCGTACTATTTACTTGATCCTTGTTACAAAGCAATCTAAGACTGATTACTGAACCATCAAGATCTGAATCAAGAAAATTACCCATATAAGGTTTGAAATTGCCATCTACTTCATGTTTTTTCGACCGTCCTCCATCGTAGAAGTCGAGCATTACTCCACCTTCACCCTAAGCAAACGTCCTTTTCAACAGAACTTTCAACATAAACCTTATTTACAGATTATTTGTATACATGATAGGCTTCCTCTGTTCAAAAGAGTTACTATAAGGAATAAAAACGATAGTTTTGCCATTTAGTTGAGACGCGACTGTTACAAGCAATGGTGGCCAGACTGTAACTTTACTCAACCTTCATGCTCGTAGATCTCTATATAAGGCTTAAGATTCTTTTCTTTTTCCCCATTTTAAATCACCAGTAATCTCCACAAGAGCATTTCCCGTTCTCAAAATGGTGGAATCTTTTGCGATCCCTCACCACAATTTTCCTTCCAGTAATCATAGCAAGGAGCTTGATCATCGAGTGGCAATCATCACAAACCCTCAAGTTCTTCACAACCCTTATTGTGGTACCTGGTTTAGTAGAGATTAAACCATAGCATATTGCAAGCCTCTCGCTGTGTATTGCTAAAGCCTGCTCTTTCTCCCAGTCTTCTATATCATGCAAAACAACATCTGTTGCTGGAGTATGTCCTGCTTTTAATATTTGGTTCAACTCCTCTAACTTCTTATATATTTTTCCTTTTTGAGGGTGCCTTAGCTCTCCCAGAAGAAACTCGTGTATCTCATTATTCACTTCAATGGAGCTGCAACCTGGTTCTTTTAGGATTCCACCTTCCTTCATCTTTGCCCTGATTTGAGCTGCTTCTTTCCATTTTCCTGATGAAGCATAGACATTTGATAGCAGAACGTAAGTGCCAGAATCTACACCCCCATGATTAATTAAAATTCTTGCAACCTGTTCTCCTAATTCAAGGTTTCCGTGAATTTTACAAGCACTCAGCAAGGCCACCAACATGACATGATCAGGTGCTATTTCCATATTCTGAATGAAATTATAAGCCTCCTTTAGACGACCTACACGACCAAGAAGATCAACGATACATCCATAGTGCTCTATTTGTGGTGGAATACCATAATCTTTACTCATAGAATGGAACATCTCAAACCCCAAATCGACCAAGCCTCCATGATTACAAGCATTCAAAACAGCAACAAAGGTAACACTAGTTGGCAAAATCCCTTGCTTAATCATTCCCCGAAAAATATCAACAGCTTCAATACTCTTTCCATGCATAGCAAGCCCTGAAATCATTAAATTGTATGTAATAACATTTCTCTCTTTCATCATTGCAAAAACTCGTTCAGCCTCATCAATATCACCACACCTCGAATACATATTGATCAGTGCACCCCCCACGAAATGATTAAGCTCTATCCTATGGTGTTTTCCAATGTACGAATGAACCCATCTTCCAAGCTCTAACGCCCCCAATTGTGAGCACGCGGACAAAACACAAACAACTGTAACTTCGTTAGGCTTCACATTGTCTTTTTGCATTTCCCTAAACAACTCCAAAGCCATGTTCATCTCCCCATTTCTAATCAACCCATCAATCATCGCGGTCCAGCAAACAGTATCCTTAACCCTTACCCGATCAAAAACCTGAACCGCCTGCTTGACCAACCCATGGTCTAGAAAACAGTTTATCATGATTGTTGAGGCAACAACATCTCTTTCCGTCAATTTATCAAACACTTTCCTCGCATTATCAAATTCACCACACTTCCCGTAGAATTCCATCAGCTTCATGGTTATCGATCTATTCGAGCATAACCCAAGTTTCAAAGCTTGGCAATGAACCTCTTTTCCCTCCCTCAAAGCAAAACGATACTCACAAGCTTTCAAAACGGAGGTGATAACATACTTATCCGGCACAATGAACCGATCAATCATTTGATAATAAAGGCGAATCCCATCAGAGTAGGAACCAACCAAGACAAATCCATCAATGAGAGCTGTGTAGAGGAAGACATTTGGGTTACGGACCTGTTGAAAAATGGTGGAGGCATAATTAACGGAGGATAGAGTGGAGCTGAGGCATAGAAGCTGGAAGAGGACGAAAGGGTCTTGGTCATGGCCGGTTCTGATGATTTTGGCATGTATTGGGAGGATTTGGTTGGCGTCTTTGCAATTTTTTAAGAGAGAAATGAATTCTTTTCTGCGTAGGGTGGCGTTGCAGAGTTTTGGATTTGGAGCTGAAGTTGACGGGTAAGTGAAGGATCCTACAACAGCTAACATGGAGTAACTCATTTCCTGGTGTTCTAACTTCTTATGCTTTGAAGGTGAAGGGATATTTATAATAGGACTTGATTAAAAAAATAAGTGATTAATCTATATTCTTTTCTCGTTTTAGGTGATTAAAATACTTTTAAGTATAATTTAACTGTTTAACAGTTTAAATATTATTTTTAAGTGTATAATATTGTCACAAACTATAAAAAAAATAATTTAAAACTTATCACATGTCATGTTTATAAAAAAATTTTAAAAAAATTAAATCATATTTTAAAAAAAATTAAATTTTTCTAAAATCACAAAAAACTCTAAAACCTTAAAACCTCATTATTAACTGTCATTAGCCACCATATATCATCGTTATCGTCTTCGAGCAATCATTCACACATTGACCGACTATTGTTCTTATCGTTACTCTAATCCATTAAATCCCTAAACTACTAAGGATGCGTTTGGTTCACGAAATATAAGATTACCAGTAGGAATAAAAGATTACTAGAGAATAAGATTACTGAGAATGTTGTATTTTGTGTTTGGTTAAAGGAATGTAAGATTACTGTGTTTGGTTAAAAGAATAAAAGATTATTGGAATGTATATTTGACCAAATTGTCCTTATTATATATTTGTATAATATTACAAGTTAGAAAATATTTATATATATTTTTTTAAAAAATCATAAAATTTATATAATTTTTTTATAATATAAAAAATGTTTAATAAAATGGTAAAATTTTATTTTAACCCCTGAACTTTATATAAAATTTTAATTAGATTTTTTTATAAATCTAAAATAGTTTAAAGATAAATTTGTAATTTAACCTTCGTAGAATTTTTACTATTCAATGACAGAAGAATGATATTTTTGAAAAAAAAAATTAAGGGCATTTTAGTCCAAAACGCAGATAATGTTACAATACCTAAAGGAAGGGAGGTAATGACATTCCCGATAATATACCCAAAAAAATTCACTATTGATAATAAAACATTATCGGGAATGACATTCCGACCAACTAAACGGGGGAATGTGGATTTCATTCCCAAAAAATCTCACGTTCCCCTATCCAAACGCCCCTAAATTCTCAAATTTTTAACCATGACGACACCTTAGCTGTATGCGTTGCTACACCCTACATTAATAGGAAAGAGCAAACTATTTCAACTCGTCATCAACAACACCTTTTAGAACAACACAACATGCATCATCTATGCAACCGACATAATATCAACATGTTATTTAGCATATGTTTCGAATTTGTCACAAAATTATTTTATACCTATAATATCAAACTTGATATTTGCTTCATACGCATCATATTTGACGAGCACTGCTCTTCCATCACAATCAATTTAGTTAGTCTAATTAACGAAGTTGTTTCTTTCTAATTTTTTTAATATTCAATGAACAGTGAGATTACTGATCATACAGCTCCAAATCCGTTGTTCAACGTATGTCATTCATCATCGTCCATGCGATAACACATTGATGTTAATAATATTAGACATAATATTTGTAATACCCCAACCCGTATTCGATCCGAATACGAGTCCGAGATGTCACATTGATATTTCAAAACCTTTATTCTTACAAAATATCAAAACATTTGAACCCATTTTAAGAAAATACGATCATATATTATTGAATTGTGTTTCGTATGAAATTTTGAGTCAAAAACATATTTATGAACAGTAAAATACGGCATGAACAATACTGTGAACAATAATGAACAGTACCGTTAACAGTATCCTGCTACAATACTCGAATGTTAAAATTTTCCAGATTATCAAAGAGGAACTGATTCCCCTGCTACAAGGAATCGATACCTGCTACAGTACTACTATAGTACTTCCGTAAAATATGTATAAATTCATAAAATTTAAAATATTCATCATCTTTCATTTACCATTTACAATTATACGTTTAAAACATTACAAAATTAAATCATATGATTTTACAAAACCGATTAAAACATATAGGATTCAAATCTTTGTTTACATGCCAACCACTATAAGTATTACAAAATACATACTATTAAATGCTTTTCTGATTTGATCTTTGGAAAGGAGAAACTGACATGTCTTGCATAACTTTTATCAATCTTCTCTTTTTTGCTTTCCAAACATACGTGTGAAACAATCACCCGCTAAGTCGATGAATTAGTGAGGCATATAAAACATATATCTTTTCATATAAACAAAAGGCATACATATGCAAATACTATCATTAATCCCTTTTACTTACCATATATTCATCATATAACACATATATCATTATCAAGTCGTTTAACATTTCACATTCATTATCATTAATTCTTATAATTTAATACCCTTATACATAACATATTATGCATTAATCAAGCAATACACCATTACATAAATCCGGTAATCTATTCCATATAACAAATCACATATACATATCATATTCAATATACTTATTAAATTATTTATTAGCCCATGTACACTGTTGAGAACTGAAGGTATGTGAGTACATTGAGGTTGTGCACAAATGCTGTCACCACAGCTCGTATAAATTTGTACCGAAGTGCCACGTAGAATTTGCACGGAAGTGTCACGTAGAAATGCACCGTAGTGCCATATAAGATTGTCCATAAGGACCACATATAAATTCCTTAAGAATCATATACATATACCAAAGATCAAGTAGGCGTCTCAAAATACCTCATACATGCTCCAATGAATACATATACATCCCGAAGGACCACGTAGAATTTGCCCCGAATGACCGCGTAGACCCTCTACTCTTGGCATGACAACTATACCTATAGCTCTTGTATTATATAACATGGGCATTTTTCTTATGCTTCATAAATTCATGTACTCATATCATTGCTCTTATGATCACATATTTCTTTTCTTCTGTCATATATCACATGTGCATATAATCACGTAGTTTACTTTCATGTAATTCATGTAACACCCTCAACCAGTATCCAACCCGGATCCGAGTCCTAGGTGTCACATTGACTTTTCAAAACATTTTCCTTTACAGGTGGATAAAAATTCAACTCACTATTCGATAAAATTAATATTTTTCATTAATTGACATAATTGGGTTTTACAAAACATATCAGAGCTTATACTATTCAAATATTTATACTACATGCCAACTACATTCTAATAAACATAATACATATATTTAATATGTTTCTGATCCGATATTCGTAAGGAAGATGCTAACCTGTCTTTCTCCTCTTAGCTTCTCTTCTCGCTTCTGTAACCTACGTGTGAAACAATCACACGCTAAGTCTATGACTTAGTGAGACTTATAAAACATATAATATAAACTAAACTTCTAACAATGCATATGAATAATTAATGCTATTATAACATACATCTTCATGTACACTTAATAAAATGAATACATACATACACAAACCTTATAATATCACATATAAGTTTTACTATTTTATATTCTTATAATCATTTACTTTAAACTACTTAGCTTATATCACATTCTACTATCTTCATTTAAATCGTTTACTTACCTTATTCTTAATCCTGTAATTTTGATCGCAATCCTACATATTTTATCTCTCCTTTCTCTATTTTTCTATTTAACATTTCACCCATAAATTCTCGTTACATATTCTAATATCCTAATTTCTTATATTCTCTTAATTCATTCCTCACCAAATCTTCATTTAATAAACATACATTTGCATAACTTATTGTCATTTGATTCCTTTGATATTCTCATATGATTTCTAGGATTCTTATACTAAATTTCATATCCCTTACTAATTTACCAAGGTTAGTTCACAGTTTTATTTTAAACGTATATACCTTCCTACGCAACTTATCTAATATCCTTTTATACTTATTTATATATTTTTTTCCTCAATTAATATACTATATGCTTTGTCTCAATTCTCATTAATCATATAGTTCACCACTTCATTATCTATGTATATATATGTATATAGCGTTCACTAGATTTCTCATGAAATTACTTCTAACATATCTTATAATTATATTATATTCACTTACATTCCCATATATCATATCAACATATTTCACATAGAACATATCATATATGCAATAAATGAAACTCATACATTCACATCCAAATGTTCAATCACATATGACAATCATGTTAAGTTTCTGTATATTATTTCTTTATTGGCCCATGTACATCTTGGAGAACTAAAGATATGTGAGTTCATTGAGGTTGTGCACTGATGCTGTCACCACAGCTCGAATAAATTCCCACTAGTGGCACTGTATATTTGTCCCAATTGACCACTATGTCCCGAAGGACCACTGATTTGTCCCGAAAGACCACTTTGTCCCGAAGGACCACTCCTTAAGAACCATACACATAATACAATGGACCAAATAAGTGTACCGAAGTACCACATATATGTTCCACAGAATTACATATATATCCCGAAGGACCACGTAGAACCCTCGACTCTTGGCATGCAACCTATACCACTAGCTCTCATATCACGTAACATGGGCATCATTATTATATTTACCCTATATTCACATAGCCATATCACATAAACATAGGTTCTTATCATATCACTCATATCATATGGCTTATCTCTTGAAATCTTGCAATCATATCACTTATACTCTCATAAATCATATCTACATGGGTTATCTTATATACATATGTTCACATACTTTAGCTTAATTTACCTTCCATATATCCATACAATTCATTATCACATGATTGATATCTTAATCACATGACAATAACATACATTCACTCAGATCATACTACATATACAATAATATATCACAATTATGCCCATATCAATAACATGCTTATATGTATGCTATTATAGGAAATAGACTTGTCACAAGTCTTATTTCCATTCATCATAATATACCAACTAATACGCACTCACCTTAGCCTTGCTTGCTTTGACTCGATCCTAATATTTCGATTGTTCCGAAACAAGATTACGTTCTAAATCTACATAGTAATACATTGATATATATCAGCATACGAATTAATATATTCTAAACTATTACTCCTTAGGCTAAA